AGGGGCCCTTTTAAAGGGTCCAAACATGTTGTTTTGACCATCTCCTTAATTTCTTTTATGAAAACATAAAATTATTTATTATTAAAAAATAGAAATTAAATTTACATTTTTGTTCTTATTTTTATTTTTATAATTACGCTCATTCTTAAATTTTATTGTCGGATTTATATACACATCACTTTATTTGATATTATTTATATATTTAATCATTTTTTAATATTATTTATATATTTAACGCTAAAAATTTTAATATTACATTCTTATCACTCATATAAATAATATCAAATATATCACTTCTATATTTCATTTTTATCATCTATATCATCTTATAAATTTTAATATTTTATTTTATATATCTATATTTATTTTATAAATGATAGACTTATAATATTAAAATTTTAGATATTAATCCTGAAATAAAGTGGTATGTATCTAAATCTCCCTTTGTCATGAAAGAAAACATTCATGTAAGCCGAACATCTCCGTCGGACATTGCCGTCAAATCTCGCGATGGCGTCGGCGGGAACCAGAGCAGGAAGAGACGGGAGCGTGACGGAAGAAGAAAGAAGAAAGGAGATCACAACAACTTGCGATTTTTGCGAGGCGACGCCGGCGCTTCGAGCTCCGGCCCACCTCGTCGCTCGAATCTTCTCGCAGCTAGACTGCGTCGATCTACTCAATTGTTCTTTAGTGTGCAAGTAAGCTGAGGTTATCGTGGTTGGCTATTCTCCTTATTAAATCCTTGCTTCCTCTCCTTGTTTTGGGTCTCCGCCCATTTGATTTTTGTTGTAGAAGTGTTGCTACTATTTTGGTTCTTTGTTTTGCGCTCGATTTCAGTTTCTTGCTATCAAGCCACTGTAAGGAGGTAGAGATTATCAGCAGGTACACGCGGTAGCTGTTCAATTTTCCCACTTGGTAAATAGGACGAGTTTCCAGGTTCCAACTACTTGACAAATGTGAGAATATTGAGTTTAGTCTTATATTACGTGGTTGAAAAATGTACGAATGTGAAAACTAATAGTTGGTCAAACTCATAGGCTGATCTCTATGATTACTAATAGGTTTGATCATTGCTGTATTATGTGCAACTTTTGATGTTTTTAATTCACAATCTCTAATCAATAGTATAAAGTAAGTGATTTGACTAGAGTGAACTGGTTCTTGTAATTTGTAGCTTCTATGCATCACGATGCCATCTACTTTGGATGAGGTAACTCATTCATGAACGGGAGACTTCAACCAATTGTCTACCATTTTTTCATTTTCTAAATTGTTCTATGAGCTTGCTCTAACTTAGCATCCATATTGAAAGTGGTTTTGTGCCTAATTTGGTGATTATTCTTATTAGTGCTCTCATTTTTAGATGATACCTCTAGGGCACACTCGCCTTAGTCTCGAAACATGGATCGTATGCTAAAACTAGTGGCAGCCAAGGGTAGACTGCTTATAGTGGAAGATAATTTTTACGATGGTAGACTGGTGATAATTAAAGCACAAATCCTCAAATCGTCCTATTTGTGTTGGATTTTTTTTCTTCCTTGTAAATCATTTAGGGGGCCTTGCGTACTCTCACATAAAACGTTGTTCTCCTTGCTGGAAAGCATATAAAGATAGTCAACTGAAAGGGGAAGAGAATAATTAATTTCATTAATTCAAAAGATGTAAACATAAGAGACACAATGGGGGCTATATATAGTGTTGATAAAAGAAATCGAGAGTCATAGATGGGCTGGTTGACCAACATGTTATAATCGGAGAGAAATGAAGGCTTGTGGAATTTAAAGAGTCATTCATGGGGTTCCAAAGATTTGTCTGACTTTGCATGGTTGAAGGCTTAATAAAATGGCAATTCAAGAAGTTTGTCATAAAATAAATGAAGAGAAGCGAGGATAGGTGCCCAAGCCATGCAAGAATGAGAAAAGATGGTGGGTGGTTAGTTCTCAAAGTCAAAATGTGATGCAGAGGTCAAATAGTAATCAAATGATGGTCGAAAATGACTTAAAAAAGGGATCAGCTGGTTATAATTGGGATTTTTTTAAGTAAGCTGTTGACACTGAGCCTTCTATTTTATTTTGTTCATACAGACTAGACTCCATGACAAGCTATAGAGCTCTATGTCGGACTCTACAAAGAAATACGCTGCATAAAGTTACAATTGAATGTATTCATTTGCAAGGTTGAAGGCTTGGCTATGTATAAGGAGAAAGTAAAGTTTCTTTCTAGGCTTCCATCTCATGAGAGAATGCCACAGAAAACGCATATCAGGAATTTTTTAGCTTGTAAACTAGTAAAAGAACTAAGTTTTTTTAGTAGACCTTTGAACCAGCAATATTTTCCGGACTAGCTTAACATTACAAAGCTGATCAAGATGGTGGAGGTAAGAAATTTGCATATATCCTTTCTGCATATTCTCTATGTCAGTTACCTTGAGAGCTTCATCAACCATTGATTTGTTCAGTAATTTTTAAATTATCCATATGAAGCATGTACAACAAAGAAGCCTTGGGTAATTATAATGGAAGGTATAAAACGCACCAATTTGGTGAGTGCATAATGTTAGTGTTGAAGGGTTTCGAAGAAAAAAAGCTGGAGATTATAGCAACATGTATATATGGTTTTTGTTATTTATTTCAGCATAACATGTATATTTGGTATTCAAAAGGATTTGTAAATAATAGGCTTAACAATTCGTGCAACTTTCAATAAAAATAAATGAAAAATTATGACAAACCTTACCCCAAATATTTGGGATAAGGCTAATGATGGTGGTAACAAAAGAATTAACTGCCGAAAGAGCAATGTTGTGAATGCTAGTAGTGCTTGAGAAAAGAAATATTTTCTGTTTCTAACTTGAACAAGCAAAAGTTGTCTACCATTTATAGCGTTTGACCAATTTGATAAAAAATTGTCTTGGAATTAGTCTTCCCCTATGATGTCATTTATAATTATAGAGTCAACCTTATTTCTGTCTTCAAATTAATATTTCGTTGGATATTTCTTTCATAAGTCATCTTATTCATTCGGTTGTCACATTGATATTATTTTTAAGATTATAAATCTATCCCAAATATTTTATTGATTGAAAGTAGGGCATGAGACTAGTTCTCCATATAGCAGGCACAATGCCAATTATCTTGAAAACTAGAGAAAATACCGCTTGATCTGGAGCTCTTTGGTGTTGCTATAACTTAACATTCTTCCTTCAATGACTGTAACATGGAAATTAGCCACCTTGATTAATGTCCCATTATTCTCTTTCTCATGGGCTAATTTGTTCGTTTTCTTTTTATTAATAACCAGTTCTTACTACACTAGCTGCAAGGTGATTTTTTTTCTTTATTATATCAAATTTTATTATTGAGGTACTCTGTTAATACTGTTTATTACTCTCTGATGTAATTAGTTTGGCGTCCTTTAATCCCTGTCTATATTGCTTCTAAACAATACAATTGTTCTGATTTTTAACATGTTTCTTGTATCGCTTAATAGGCAGTGGTACATAGACACCAGAGATCTGAGGGAAGGTTGGGAGAACGAATACTTGGAGACTTTCAGTATGTATGCGTTTCTTCTAAAAAGGTGACAGTCTTACTCCCTTCTCCTTGCTCTGTAATTCTGCTATTATCTTCAATAAAGTAAAAGGGAAGACAACCTTGTTTTCTTGTACATAATGGATGCTGTTTTAGACTTTTATATTTGTTTCAACTTTGAAGTTAGTCACCAAAGAAGTTATATTCTGCAACTTTTATATTAGACATGGACTTTAGAAGACATCATTAAACTGCTTGTAAATGTATAAAGTGATCGAATTTGGAAAACGTTATTCTTATCGAATAATAATGTACATTTCCTTAGAATATATGGCACGATGTTCTTTCTTATAAGCCGGTTGTGTACGCTAAGAAAATGAACATGAAAATTAGAAATGTGTTTTCGATAGTTTAATATGTAAGTTGTAGGATCCTGTGTTAAGGTTTGATTATGCTTGTTAAATTAGGAATTAAAAATTATGTTTGGAATACAAAATTTATCAAAATAGAAAAAAAAAATTTGGAATTTGTGTATATATTTGTAATACACTAATCTAAAAGTATAATCTAATACAAATTATATCAGAAAATTCTGACACAATTTTTTTTCTTAAAATATGGTATTCCTTTTTAAATTTACTCATTGAAGCCTCATATCAAATTTGGGATCTTCTATTAAATATTCACCCTAGGTATACAAGATATCCTTGGATAAAGCAACTCATGGTTGTCGACAATAATCCTTATGTCAGGTTGGGTCAACTACCTCTTGTGACTAAGTAGATTATGGACTATGATGACCCGGGATGACGGAACCATGGGATCTTGATCTGATCTATCATCATTTCTCCCACATCCGCTTGAGGTTCAAGGTGGTGAATTTATAAATTTTAAATACCAAATCATGCCGCTACTATATGTCAGATATTATATATCTATTTGATGATTAGCTTTAATCAAAAGTTCTCTCTCGTTATCGGGAGGGGTAATTAACTATAGGGGCTTTTGCCTATAGGAAACTTGAACTCATATCATAAAGTCTTCGTAAAATGAGGGCGAAATCTCTGGGTAGTGTCTTATTTAAAATCCAATCTGCTTTCTGAAAATTTACCTTGGAACTTACTCATTAAAACTCTCCTCGATGGCCCAGAGAAGAAAGGAGTCCGTGGAAGGGCCGGGGCGTAAATTTTTGGAGCCCACAATATTTTTTTACATAGGGCATATTAGGGGAGGGAGGAGGAGGAGGAGGAGGTGGTGGTGGTGGATAAGGAGGATAAGGATTTGGAGGAGTTGGGGAAAGATAGTGAGAAGGTTCCTACCACTGATGTGGAGGTGGAGGAAGTGGAGGCCATAGCAGATAGAATCTTATATTATGCCATGGTGCATGTACATGTGAAGATCGAGAAGGCAAGGTATGTAATCTTATATGTATAGAGCATACATAAGAGTGATTCACAATTAGTAAAGAATAAGCATGAGTGACATAAGAGCAAAAGGTATTTGACTAGAAATTTCATGGATCCATCAAGGAAGAGGCATAAGCTCACTGATCCATTTGTCATTGATTGACTCACCCCATTGATTAGGAGCAATAGTTTACCTTCAAGACTTGGATATCAAGTGAGATTGATAACTTTAAGAAGGTGTTAGAAGTTGGTATAAGACATACATAAAATTTAAAATATTTGAATACTCTGACAATATGATTATACAATAATGTAATAAATATTTTACTTCATGGACAGTGAAAAATTAATTCATTACACTAACTCCTCTTTTTTTTTGCAACAATTTGATTTTTTTATATTTCATAATAAGGGAGTGAATATAGCTACCTAAAAAAGACATATGGACCTTACATAATTGTGTTGGATGAAATAATTAGCGAGCAGAATAGAAATCACGATGTACAGGAAGGCAACGAAGGACTCCTTCAAATGGCTTGAAGATACTTTCAGAACAACTTCTTTAAGTTATGATATAATGTAGAGTTCGTATATTTTCTAATTAATTGGATAGAATAAAGTTCATTAGAGAGTATATGAAATCTTAATGTTTGCTAAGGACATAAAGTTGTATAACTATGACCGTTCTTGCACTGTGATGCAAAACTTGTAGGCAATGATATATCCTTTCTATGAATGCTTCCCTAGGTTATTTGAGAAGGGTTGGTATTATTTGACAGCAAATAGGCACCACTCTCCTCCAAATCTACTTGGAATATGACTACCATAGATGAGGTTGAATGTCAGTTGATAATTTAATTAAAAAAATAATCATAATTGAAATAGTTCTTGCATTGCAATGACGATTGTGAATTGAATGTTATACAACACATTAAAGAAGAATATATTGGAAGTTAAATCCAATGACATGATTTTATAGGAATCATTTATGTGTAGATTGATTTCATAGAAATGTTGATTCATATGTTCATTTTGAATATTTCATATGTTGCATTATTACTATTGTATTGAACATTGTATTATTATTGTATTTGTGGTGTACATTAGCCCGGACGGACCAAAATGGTCTAGCGAAGCCTTTTTTTTTTATTAAGTATACATATCATGTAAGAGGATGTATCTTAGTGTATGTTTTATGCTAATGAGTCTTCTTGTTGATAAGGCTAGAGAAAGTTGATGAAAAACTTGAAGTATGGAGGCTAACCATAGATTCTAAGAGTTTTCGTTCGAGTATATCTAAAACTGAATACACTGAGTGTAATTTTAATAGTAATATATTTATTGGTGAGATTTTGACATTGGGTGATCAAATTACTAAAAAAAATGCCCGTTTTGGATATCTCGGGTCTATTGTTCAAAGTGATGGTAAACTTGATGAGGATATAGTGGAGGGATGCATCAGGCACGTTGTGTGATAGAGAAATACCCTTCAAACTTTAAGAGAATTTTTTATAAGATGTTGAGATCTACAATGCTTGATAAACTTAAGTGTTACATAGATGATGGTGCTCAGATGGATGGGTGGCTTTACACAGAGACGGAATGCGGAACGATATATACATGAAATTGTTGTAGTAGCTCTAGCGACTGATAAGATTAGAGAGATTTTCTTTAAATTGTATGATCGCATAAAGCATAGGTCTTTTCGATGACCCTGTTAGAGAATATATCTATTAGATCTGATCTGTGTTAATAGATGTAGAGGGAGGATTAAAAATACTTAATTAAAAGTATTAAAAAAATCTTTTTCAATAAATTTAAATGAGAATTTTACTCTTAATATAATATAATATAGAAAAAAGATTCATGTAGCTGACTGTGGCCCACAGTTTGATAAAGACTTATTGTGGTTGTTGTTTTACGTACATTAATTCCTTAATTAAAATAATGGATGTTGTAATGTTGATGATGTGGATAAATTTACAATTTTTTTATACAACATAGAAGAAGTACCATGGATAAATTTACAAATCTAGAATTAGTACTATATGATTTGAATGCCTTATAATAACCTTATTTAGCCCAGCTTGTCTATAATTGCACTATCATTTACTCTATTGTCAATAACACTTAACATGTTACTAAAAAATTGTCTTATAAGAACTTTATTCAATCCTATTCAAATAATTAATCAACTGTATGTTTGGCCCTTTCATCAATCAATTTCAAATTATCTTCTATGAGGGTCAAATATTTTTTCAATTAAGTCCCTTAATTTTAACATTATAAGAGAAAAAATTTAGGCAAGCCTTCCCAAAATTATAAGAACAGCAGCAAATTGACATGATTACACAAGTAAATTTTCTGTAAAAATCAGTAGCAAAGTATATCGCACATCTAAGACAGAAGAAACAACAGAGTAATTACACCCAGTAAAAACAAAAATCAAACCTATAAATATTTCCAATCTGTTAAAAATTCAACACACCAACTGATATGAAATCTCAAATATCAAGTCCTCACTGTAAAAGCTTGCCCTGTAGGAGACCATCTCTGACCTGTGCGGCAACATCTTTCACAGCACCTGGGCCATGTGGGATAAACACAGCAGAAGACTTGGAAGAGGCACCGATCTCCTTCATGGTGTCAAAATACTGAGTAATCAAAACCATGTCCATCACATCCTTGGCTGAAGTTCCGGGCACATTAGCAGAGAATGCTAGAACACTATCTCTTAGACCGTCAACAATGGCCTGACGTTGGCGTGCTATGCCAAGGCCAGCTAGATATTTGGATTCTGCTTCGCCTTCTGCCCTTTTTATTTGTAGAATTTTCTCTGCTTCGGCTTTTTCGTTCGCAGCCAGCCTCATACGAGCCGCTGGATCATTAATGAGAAAAACAATAATCATCTTAGAGGATGTTTGGCTGGAAGTAGGATTTAGTAAAGCTGAGGGTTAAATCATGAAAATTGTTTGGGATGATGGGTTTTAAATTCAATTAATTCTGATAAACTATTTGATGCTTGTTTAGGGATTTAAAGATTTCTATGATTATGAGATTTGAAGCAGCGGGAGACTTAAAAGATGCTCTGGAGATGGAGATAGATCGAGATGTGAAGGGGGAGAGAGGAACCTAGGAGATGGAGGGAGGAAAGAGAAGATTGAGTAGAAGCATACTATTGTGCTGGAGCAAGGGATAGATTAAAAGAAGATTGGAAAGAGCCGACTACTAAAGTAGAGAAGTTCGCCGCAAGTGGGAAAAAATAGGGACCGTAAGGGGAGGTAGAGATAATGATGCCACGGGTACAAATTTTGAGCCTCTAAATCCATTAAGGTTTCGTTTGAGACAACTTTCTTACTGCTTCTTAAAGCAGCTTTCTAATGCAACAACAAAAACAACATTAAGCATTTGTCCAACTATGTGGGTCGGCTACATGATTCCTTTGTCGCTATTGTGTCATGTTAAAAGCCAAATTTTCATTTTAATCTAATAAAGAAAGATCATTTCTAATATTTTCTAATCAAGTCTTTTTAGGTCTACCTATAACTTTCTTAACATAAGTCAAATCTAATACCTCAACTTTCCTAACCGGGTCATCAGAAGGCATCCGTTTAATGTGACCAAACCATCTAAGGCGACTCTCTCTAATCTTATCAATAAAAAAGCCGTCCAAAACGAAGCCTTAATCTGTTGAATAGCGGAATTCAGTATGGAAAGTGGTGTCAAAATGGGATTTAAATTTCTCAGGAATTTAAGTTTCTCACTTTCACTGTTTTTCAAGATTTAAAGGTAAATCACACCTAAATCTTGCCTTAAAGCTGCTATCCAAACAGCCCCTTACAGTGTTAAATGGCACACACATCATGCAGCTATTTAATAGAAAGGATCGTACATAATTTGGTGAAATGATTGTGAGTTCAGCAATAGACTTGCCTGCATTTATCTCATTCATAGCCCTCTTGACATGTTCATCAGGCTCAATATCCACAATGAGTGTCTGTACTATTTCATATCCATATGTGGACATTGCCTTCAAAAAAAAAAAAAAAGTTAAAACCACAAAAAACTTACTTGATTCCAATTCTAAAACATTAGAAAATGATATATTCTGTCAGCAAAATGCCTTTTCAAGTTCATCCTCCACAGCTTTTGCAATATCATTCTTCTGCTCAAAGACATCATCAATTTTCAATTTTGGAACACTAGCCCTTATAACTGCAGTAGAATGAACTATTAACATGAAATTTTATAGTCACTTTATAAAATAAGAGAATAAAATACTCCTTATGTTTTACCATCAAATACATATGACTGAATTTGTTCTCTCGTATTGCTAAGCTTGTAGAAGGCGTCAGCAGCCTTGTTTGCCAACGCACGGTACTGTACTGATGCAACAACCGTTACAAACACATTATCCTGGTATGCCAAGAAGAAACAAACAAATAATGGTTAATAATTTATTATATTTGATCTGACAGCATAAATATTACAATCTTATTTTTGGTCTCTATATGAGGAAAAATTATTCTATGCGGACACCGAACATTATCCGGAGGCGAATCTGAGCGCATCATGTCACTCTTACTGTGTACCGCTATGTAACGGGGCGACGTAGCTCGCTCTGATTCGCCACCGGACGACCCGGTGTCCACACATAATAATCTCTCCTATATGAGATAATTAAAAAACATGTCAAAAAATCATACAAATGCTCTGAATCTGATGTAGATTTAGGCTTCGCTTAGGACGGCTTTCTTACTGCTTCCGGAAGCAACTTTTTAGTACAAAAATTAAAACTTTTGTACTAGAAAGCTGCTTTAAGAAGTAGTAAGAAAGCCGTCCCAAACTAAGCCTTAATTCTTCTTAAACTAGATTTACATAAAGTTACTGCCTAGAATATTCATAACTCAACTGCTATAACATATGTCAGCCAATTCTAAAACAGGAACAATCAGTTTCTGGAAGTTTTTGCCTCATGCAAATAATTCAAAATGAAAAGAATCCTTCTAGTTTCCATTGACCATTATTAAACTACTGCTATTGATATAATCTGATTCAGAAAATGGTGATAGAATACTGTATAGTTAACTTTTCTGTAAAGGTGTCCCAAATAGCAGCACACCTTTGTTTTGGTTTCACAACGAACATCAAGCTGTTGGACACGGAGTGAAAGGTAGCCGGCCACATTTTTTCCTAGAATCCATGGAACAAAATGACAACCTGGCTCAAGAACATCATCAAACTTTCCAAAAGTTTCTTTGATCGCTACAGTTGATTGTTCCACTTGCAAGCAGCAAAGTGTCTGACCCATTTCTTGCGCTCTATAGAAGAAAGTATAATCAAAACAAAGAAACCCAAATTACTTTGCTTTCTGCTATAAGGAATTCCTTATGCATATATTTTAGGCAAATTAAATGCAATATTCTGGACGAAATAACAAAACACTAAGGGGTTTTTTGGTATCATCTAGGATTTGATTTAAGTAGGATTTCATAAATCCTCTAAATCCGGATTTTGGAAATCCTGAGAGGCCTAAATCCTGAAAACTGTTTGGTAACATACATGATAAATCCTATTAAATCCCATGTGACTGTTTGACTATGGAGCGGATTTAACGAGCTGACTCTTCCTCTCGAGCCAATGGATTTCGTAAATCCGACAAGAAATAGGATTTCGGAAATCAGGGATTTAGCACCAAAAGGCGGAATTTTCCGTCTGTGGCGGCTTTCATTTGCTGTGAGATTTGGTTTTGCATTTTAGGCCGTTTGGCTGGATTTTGCTCAAATCCGCATCTGCTACCAAACAGCCCCTAAAATAAAAGCAATAACTTGAAAAGGAAACGGTGAATAAATAATTGCGTGTTAGCTATACTGGAACGGCCCCGCACAACTAAACGTAGTTAAAAGGTATTAAGCTATAAATTGATAAAGGAAACAATTAAGCTATGAATACTTATATATGAAAACTTCCTACCATAAAGCAAATAAAACTGAAAAAAAAAAAAAGATGAGAATCATAAAGATTTCACCGTAGATCAGAAGCAGGTGTTGGCTATCAAGGACTATAAAAAAGAGAGCCATAAAAGGTATTTATAGCAATAACAGGGAAGCCAGTCTCGTATATTCAGAAACAAAGGATGGTCATTGAAGGAACACCAATAGCAGCAGTTTCAGAAATTTCAATTATCCATCTAAAGTCAAAGGGTACCTATCGAACATAGTTGAATGAACCAAATAAACACAATATATGATTATCCTTATCCTGAGAAAATAAATATAATATCTAAATCAAATAACACGAGCAACAACCATGTGATAATAAAATTGCCACGCATATTAAAAAAAGTAGTTTTCTGGGACCAATAAATATGTAAAAAATTTGACTAAAGATATTTTGAACAAATTTTTTATCATGATGGCCTCCAAAATAGTACAATATGTTTGAAGTCATCTCATAGTAAACATAATAATTGTAATAACCATCCTAACCAACATTTCGGGTCAGTTTAAATTAGGATTTCACCTTTAGATCAGCACAGTTTTGGCCTATCAAGGAATATTAAAATTAGAGGAAGACGAAACAAAGGATTATAGAAGGTACACCAATAGTAGGAGTTCCAGAAATTTCAATAATTCATCTACAGTCAAAATGTACTCAAACAAATTCAATTGCCTAAATAAAACAAATTATATCATTATATTTCTCCTGAACAACTAAATATAATATTTATATCCAAGAACATGAGCAACAGCTATATGATAATCAAATTATCACATATTAATTAGTAATATTTTGCTGTAACCAACAAATAAGGAAAAAAATTGGCTCAGCATATCTTGACTAAATTTTTTTATTATTATGATCTAGAAGCTATTGAACAAGGGCGGAACCCAATAGGTTCTAGGGGGGGCAGTTGCCCCCAAATTTTTTTTAAAATTTTTTTATATGGTTTTTTTAGGTAATTTATCCCTTTTTATTCATTTTTTAGTCTTTATTACAAGGGTTTTCATGCAATTTCCCCCCCTAAAAATTTTAAAATACTAACAAATTCAATTGCCTAAATAAAACAAATTATATCATTATATTTTTCCTGAACAACTAACTATAATATTTATATCCAAGAACATGAGCAACAGCTATGTGATAATGAAACAGTAACATATTAATTAGTAATATTTTGCTGGAACCAACAAATAAGGAAAAAATTTGGCTCAGCGTATCTTGACTAAATTTTTTTATTATTATGATCTAGAAGTTGCACTTAAAATAAATCAAATCTTAAGCAAAATTTAATTAAATGTCCCAACCCAAATTTCCTCTAACAAATATGAGAATACATGTAGCATTGGTTTTACAAGAAATAAACAACAAATGAATGGTATAATAGATTGCGCATAAAAACATCCATCATCAACTTATCCAACCTCCACCAGATCCGTTTGAATAAGTAGCTTGAAAGCCAAACTCTAATTGAAGAACAGAAAAGTCAAATCTCGTTAAAGAAAGGAACAAATTAAAAATAAATATTAATAATAAAGAAATCACAAGTCTCAAAACAACTAATACAGGAAAGGCCTCTACTTAAAACACTGGGAAATATGAAAGTGCTAAGTATTTTACAAATCTAACTGTTAATGCAGAAGTTTTGAATATTGAAATTACAAGAATTCTGATACAGAAAGGTACGTCTGAATACTATTCTGCGTCAATAACACAATTTCTTTCCGAAAGAAATCAAACCCTCTTAGATAATTCCGCTATCGCTCATTAATAAACGAGCAGAGCAAACGTTTACGCAACTTAAGAAATTAAACCCTAGATCAAACCCATCCACATGAAACCGACAATAACACCGATATGACAATGATTTGAAAGGGATCTCAATTAAGAAACAAACAAAAAAAAAAGTATATTGAGCAAAATCAAATAACAAAGAAGGGATTGCTCACCTCAATTATACGACCCAACCATCAAAATTGCAGAAGAGGAAGCTTTCAGAAGGAATGAGTAAAGGCGATCCTTTCAATATTTAATGATTTATAGCGACGAGTTTTACACGGAAAAAAATCCCAGCTTCGGTTCTCTCGAACCCGACCGCACGCACCGGCCAACAACGGCCCATAGTTATATTGAAATATATTATATTAATTTTAAAATAAATTTAATAATGTTTACCTAACAATTTTTATTCCTCTTTATATTGAAAGGCTATTTTTATTAATAAAATTAAGTTTGTGTCAAACAATTATTTTAATAGAGAGCAAATATTTTCTTCTCTAAGCTATAAATCACTGTAAATATAAAATAAAAGAGATAAATAGAGTTTAGATCACATAAATTTTTGGGTGAAAATCTTGAAAAAGGAAAAAGTATTACCAAGTCTTTTGGAATACTATTTCAAGTGAACAACTTTTGAGAAATTATTGATTAGCTATTCAATTATTTGACCATTCATTCATGCTAGGCTAGTGATTTCCTTTAAGCTCGACAAACAATTTTCTCATGTTCGGAGATGGAACCCGCCTCTTTTTTTAGCGTGAGTAAAATAAGATTATGAAATACGTAATTATATATATATGAAATAAAAAAAATATATTTTTTCTTAGAACTAGGTAACTGCGTTTATGAAGGTGAGAAAAATAGTTAATATATTTATTCTTATAAATAAAAAGATTTCAAGATGGGCAATTGCCCACCCTATGCTCTTCCTATTCACACCTATAAGTTATGTTGTTGATTAATGATTTATGGCTCTCACTAAAAGGATGCTCCTACCTAATTGTGAATGGGTGAGACTTCGTAGGGAGATAATAACACCTAATTAATGTGTGATTCTTTTTTATTTTTTTTCTGGCAAAATACATAGAAGTGTAAGTGAGCTGGCTTGAACTCTGACTTATTAAAAATATTATATTAATAATATATATTATTTTTTTATAAAATATCTTAAAGCATTTCAAAATTCTCTTATAAAATTCTTTTTCCCCGTTGATTTGGGAAACCGAGACATTTTAGAGAGAAAATGAGAGAAATGTGAGGAAAGAGAAAGAAATCTTTGATTTAGAGGCTGCAGAACGATTTCGTCCGTCGGGCCTTTAAGAAAAATTGTCCATATTGCTGTAAGGAATCTTTATTTTTGGTATTTATTTGATCAAATTTATGTTTATGTTACCGAAAAACATGAATAACTTTGTATTGATAAAACTTTCACAATGTAACTTTTTGTATGTTATAGAGATCGAGATTGTGAACATTTTGAGTATTTATTTATGATTTTTCATTGTGTGGTTTTAAAAATAAAGTAATTTTTGTCTACTCAAAAATTTATTTTGATGTCAAAAAATAGTGATTTAGTTAAACAAAAGCTTCAAAATGTTAATTTATGCAATATTTAGTAATTTGATTAAATTCTAAAATTGTGATTTTTTACTGAGTATGATTTTTGTTGTCTACCATTATGATATTTTAGTATTTTTTAAATTAAGCTCAATTGTGCATTATTTATTGCAATATATTAGAAATGAATGTGGATATGTGATTGAGATTACTATTATAGTTCTGTGATAATAATGTATGTGTAAAAGACAAGTAAAGACTAATTGACCCGTTGGTTGGAGATTAATTAACTTGTATAGGATGGTGGCCCTACAGGCTTTTGTTTAAATACTATCATTTGGTGTTATCCTCTACCAATTTACGTGATACTGATTGAGAGTTATAAGGGGATTATTATTGTGCCAACAGGCAAAGAGTGACGACTCTCTTTACCGAGCCAACAATTTATTGATACATATACAATACTGAAAAATACCGTGATAGCTAGGATTTTTACTTGTTTAGTATAACAACTGAAATGCATATTCTTGAGACATTTTTCTTATTATTGTATGAATTTATTGTTATGTATGAATTTACTGTTATTACATTATTCTACTACTCATGCCACTTGATTGTTATTATTATCAATTTAGATAATAATATTATTTGATACTATTAATTCATTGTAATAATAGTAAGCATGTGATATACTCAGCACGTGATATATAAAATTTATTGAGCATGTGATTGAGATATTGAGTTTGTGATTGAGCTACTGATTTAATGTTGATATAGAATAATTGGACACCATGTGTACACTTTTATATGAATTTATTACATTAACAGGATTTCACTAATTTTTACTGATATTTTGATTTAATGTTTTATCCAATTTCTTTATTGATTTATATTGAGGATATGATGATTATTTTATAGATTTGACACTCGTACTGGTTTACTATTTTACTTGCTTCCGTACTATAGAGTTTTACTATTTATAAATTCTACTAGTATTGTATACGAATTTTACTATTTCTATATTGATTCAATGATCATATGAATATTTTTATTATAATTTAACTGTTGATATGCATATTATTTTGTTATCATGCTTTGAATTCAGATATAGATTTTGGTGATCTACTGAGTTTTTTAGCTCATTATATGTAGTTAAATGATTCCAGATCAGGGTAGAGGATCATGAGTGTGAGGCTGGTCAAAATTTTTCAAGTTCTATTTTTTTTATTTTAGCTATTCTTTTGTACTCATGACATGGTAGATATGTAATAATTGTGTTGATCTTGAGTAATGTATATGATTTTGGAAATTAATATATATTTATACATTAATGTTTTGAATTATATAATCCATTTTTTGTTTAATATTAATATATAATATTAGATAGCTTTGGTGTTGTTTATTAAAAGATAAATGAATAATTTTTTTCAAATTTGATAGCTCTGGTGTTATTAGATAGCTCTTGGGCATCATACATGGTTCTTAACTCAAACTATATTGTTTTGATAATTACAAATATAATTTGGCTTAATTATTATTTAGATTATTTTTCAAACTAATACACTTGTTTTGAAAAATAGAACTAACAATTGCAAGTGTACATGAGGATAAAAAATGAAAATGTGTTGTGTGAACCTGAAACAAAGATTGCACAAAGAAAGATGTGAATCAGGACGTTGAGGCCAAGGCTAAGAAATCAAGAGTAAAGCATCTAGATAAGCCATGAATGATTCAAACAAGAAGATAATACAAATTAAGTCAATACTTATATATATATTTTGACATTTTTTAAGTGTTCTATTTTATGGTCCAAGGGCATTTGTGAAACAACCAGCACATACATGAGATTTAATGACAAAACTAATTATACAAAATTCAAAATAATAATATAAATTGATCTCTTATAAATTGTAATGTATATAATACGAGTTAATTGAGAAATCAAATAAGATTAATATGTATTAGTTGATAAAATTATAAATTAATTATCCTGAACTAATTGTATTATATAATGCAAATCTTACAGTATGATCGGGCCTAAATTTAAATTAAATTATCATTACTAGAATATTTTCTTAGTTAAATTAATCCAAAATTTGAAGTAATTGTACTGCACAAAGCATATCATATTATATAATCACATTTCTAAATTAATCTAATTGAATAGTATAAAGCAAGGGGGGTAAGAGATTTGTGATATCTTGAAGCCTTTGCATTGTAATAAGGTGTAGACTAGCGAGGGTGCTAAACTAATAATTTTCTTAGAGTGTATGGTTTCTCCTTTTCCTGTTAAGGAGAGAGGCTTCTTCACTTAGTGGTCGCTGATGAATATAGTGATGAATCCTTGAACTGGAGGCTCAAGGTGTAGATGTAGGCATTAGTGCCATATCAAATAAATTTTATTTTGTAATACCTTCAAATTCAGTGTTCAGTTCAACCTATTCTGAGATATTTTGAACTCTTTTTTATGTGTTTGGTATGTGATTGAAAGTGTGTTGTGAGTTTGAAAAAAGTCTTCATGTATTTTAAAGTAAGTTATGGGGGTATGAATGCATATTGGTAAAATCTGAAACTTTCCCCCCTTGAATGCCTGACTGTGTGGTGTTATGGTACCATGACATTGTAATAATGTCTCCTTGGCACTATACTTTCTGATTTTTGGAATTTGAACTAGCGCCACAGCACTTAAATATGGTGCCAAGGCATTGAGTCATTTTCTACACTTAAAATATCCAAATCCACGATTCATTCCATTCTATTTCATTTGGTAGCCATTTTAGAGAGCAGAGGAGAAGGATTTTTAGAGAGAGAAAAGGGTGTATTTGAGCTGCTTTGGTTCTTTTTTAGCCGCTGGCCTGAATCTGAGAGTTTTGCTAATCTAGGTAGGTCACACTAAGACTATCTTAGTTTTTCAAAATATGATTTTTTTTTTAAATTTCTAATTAAATTTATATTTTTACTACTGAAAATGATTATACCTTTTCATGATAAAACTTTCATAGCAAAACTTTTTATATATTATAGAGATTGAAATTCTGAATATTTTAATATTCTTTGAAACTTTAGTCCAGGCCACCAAACCATATATTTCAGATCACTATACATTTTACTACTTTTTGGATGCATCATATATCTTGAATAATATGCTTCATGCAAAATTTTCTACCTTAAATCTACAAAATTAGGAACCCTAAAACCCATTCTTACAAACAGTATATGAAATTCATTGAATACTGGCAGTTTAAAAATCGTTGGAAAACTGCCAGAAAATAGATCTAAATCGACGATAATGAGCGATTTTCTTGTAGAGAGAAGATTCCAGAATCAAATAGTCATAGTTTTGGTTTTTTTATAATATATGATTTGGTGAGTCAACTTTAAATATTTTGCATCTGACTTCTGGGCTTCCTAAATCCTTTCTTATAGAGATGGTTAAATAATGATCTTAGCTAAAATACCTGAATTTTGATTAATATGAGCAATAACTTCTAACTCTAGCCTTTCATTTCCCATTTCAAAAGATTGTCATTAATAAGTAGAAGGCTTGAAACTCCCGAAGACTTCTTACGCAAAGCATATGCCACCAAATTCGTCTTACCAGGTTGATACTAGATAATCAGGTCATAATCCTTTATCAATTTATCTTCTTTATCTCAAATTCAAAAACTTATGTGTAAATATGTACTTTAAATTATAGTGATCAATGAAGATCCTAAATTTGACTCTGTACAAGTAATTCTCCTAAATCTTCAATGCAACTATAATAACAATAAGTTTTAAATAATGTGTTAGATAATTCTTCTCACATGATCTTCCCACGCTTCATTTGAACACATCCTAATCCCTTCAGTGAAGTATCACTGAATACCCAAAATCCCTCGGTACCAAATTGGGTAATCAAAGGTGGAGTAAATGTAATACAACTTATCCATCTTTGAAAATTCCCCTCATAATTAGATATATAAATGAAGGCTCTTGACTAATGATTCAATATGCAAAAATATGAAAAAAGCTTTTCACAAACTATCTATAATAACTAGCTATGCCAAAAAATTGTGTACCTCATATATAGTAGTAGGCCTTGGTCAATAAAAAATAGCCTAAACCTTTTGGGGATCTACAAAAATACCTGCACTACTTATCATGTGCCTAAAAATGAGATACTTCTCAACTAAAATTCATATTTTAAGAATTTAGCATGCAACTGATGTTACCTCAACTTTTTTTAGAACAAGGTTCAAATGTACTTCATGATTCTCTTTAGAATCTGAGTAATACATAATATCATCTAAGAGCACGATTACAAATTGATCCAGATATTCCATAAATATCATGTTCATCATATTCATAAAATACTACAACTACATTAATCACCTTAAAAGACATGAATAAGAATTCGTAATATCCATACCTTATATTAAATGACGTTTTGAGCCAATCCAACCTAACAAGATTCCTATTGTAATGAGCCATGACAAACAAATCTCAAAACCTAGTTTTGAAATATTTTAGATTCTTTTTCAATATTCAATTTAAATAAATAACATACTATATTGCTATTAAAATATTTAAGTACTGAAAAAAAAAACTTATCCACAAAATTTTATTCATGTCATAATATATATATATATATATATATATATATTACAGTATATGGCTACAAACATAAGCTACATAATTAAATAATGAACTATCCATGACTATATAAAAAATAACAAAAGGTTGGACTCACCATCTAATTAGGTAAGTAAGGTGATATCCTTTCTAAGCTTAACAGCCTTAGATGGTGGAAAGCATTTAGCTAAAAATTTGTGAGTTAAGTCATTCTAAGTAGTGATTGAGCTTGGAGGTAACGAATTTAATCACATATTAACTTTATCTCTTAATGAAAAAAATAATCTAAGTTTAATGGGGGTATTTAAATATAACAGATATTTCAAGGAAACTAACTATATTAAGATTAGGACCATCCATTGGTATTTCCCTAAATTGAGAATTTTGTATCATCTAAATTTTTGTAGTTTTTAAGTTCTAAATTATTAGCATGAATGCTACGTCTATTAATGCTTTGATGAATGCATTCAACCTTAGAGTTAATAAATTTCCTAAGTGTTCTAGGTTGATTGTTTTCTGAAATTTATTCGATTATATTTAAATCTTTTTAAATTTTTTTAACTTTTCTAAAATTTTAAGTGTCTTTTCAATTTCAACATCAAACAAGATTTCTATTAGTTGTATATTAATATGCATGCAACATAAAACAACATAATAGGAAATTTGTAGAACACAAACAATTGACAATTAATAAAGCAACATTAAGTATTGGCAACACAAAGCAAATAAAATAAAATAAAGAAAAACTAGATTAAATTAACAATTTGTTCAATAATATAAAATATAAATTAGGATAATTAATTTCAATTCTCCAGTAAGAGCGCTAAAATTTTGATTGGCATTTTACCCACACCATTTTATCTTTTTAATTATGATTTGCTTAATTCTATGGTGTAACTCTTGTTTTATGCAAGTACATGTGTCATACAAAGTAATGAAGTGATGAGAAGAATATCATTCTCACGAGGATTGAATTTTTTTAAAATTAATTTAATGACGCTTAATAAAACTACTCTATTTATCTAATCAGTCAATTCACAAAAGGTTAGACAATTCAAAATAAAAAACTACATTTACAAAAGATAAATTCGTTAGTTTTAACATCTATAAACCTATAATATTTACAAATACATGCTTTCATAAGAGTGATTTCTTCCTAATATTGTCGTGTATCAGAGCATAAGTACTCATCGTCTCTGTCAAGCTTGTTGGCATGGGGGGATCCCTCTTAAGCCCAGGGGCAATTTATTATATGATTTTTTAGGTAATTTGTCAATATCCATGTATTTTTTTAGTCTTTATTACATGGGTTTTTATGCAGTTGCTCTCCCCCCAAAAAGTTTTAAAATATTATGGTCTTTAGGCAATTGCCTCATAAACATAATTAAATACATTATATAGAGGTGTTATTGTTAGGGAACGATGAGCCAAATACAAAGAGAAATAGTAAAGAGAAATCATCATTTTATTTATTAATTTGAATTTCAAAAATATCCTTACAACAAAAATTTGTTATGGGGGCAATCCCTGGCAAGGGCACTGCCCCCTTGGACCCTTGACATATCTACGAAGCGTGTGTCGATCAAGTATATAAACAGATAGGGGTCAAGCGAAATTCAAGGCAACTTCAACATACATTTTGTAGAAATTGAATGATTAATCATCTTTAGCAACTATTTTCTTTTTATCTTTATTGTTTGATCGCTTTTGACCCATTTTTTGTAGATAAATCTCAATCAATAATAAAAATTTATGATCTAAATTTTGATATGAAAGTAGATTATGATGGTATACACTATTATACTCCAACAGGAATGAAAAACATTGTTTCCCTTCGTTGAACAAAAGCTTTATCAACTCACGCTCTTCCCGAGGAGAGATATGCTTCGGAAATCACTCTCGTTTCTGCTCTCTCACCGGATCCGCATCCTCCCTTCGCAGTCGCACGCAGGAGCTTCTTTTTCATTCTCGTCCTCTAATACCTTAAACCCTTGCACTTCTCTTGAAGACCAAGCCAATGAGAACAATCAAGATTCCCGTCCGACTGAGACGATCTCAATTGATCGATCGGGCTTGTATAATCCTCAAGGTATGATACGAATGGGCGCTCACTTCTCTAGTTTTAAGTTTCTGCATTTTCAAGTCAGCTTGTTTTCTTTGGGCATTCAATTTCGCAGATCATTTCCACAAGCTTTCTGCTGATTCGAAACTCGTAAAGCATCTGAAGAGCATCATAAAGGTTTTTTTTTTTTTTTCCTTTTTAGGTTTTTATAATGTTTTATTATTATTTTTATTTTTATTTAGCATCATGTCATGTGAGATGCACTTGTAAGCCTTGATTGATCCTAACTAAATCGCAAGCAGTGGAGCATAATAATTTCACAAAGCTGATATATTTAACGATGAAGATTATTTAATAAATGTTTCAAATTTCAGAATTTTGTTTCTACAGTATATGTTCTCCGTGTTGAGCGATGTTGGTTGCGGTATAGTCATAACTTTAGTGCTAGCATTATGACTCAAATATAAAGGGTGTAAGCAGTTCAAATGCTGGTATGGACAGTGTTCATATACGTAACTTACCCCTGCATTGAATGGTAGCTGTTTTCTTATTTTAAATCTATGACCTCTAGATCACTATGAAAGCAACCTATTTATTCCACCAGGCCCACCTTCAATCACAAGCTGAAAATATGGCTATGATATTCTTTGGTTTTGAAGAAAGAGAAATAAGTTACAGACTAAATTGATGTTAGCACATGCTCTATAAGCAGCTGCATCAGTTGGCACATGCTTCACAAATGGCTGCACTAGGAGAATACAAGCTTTCTGTTATGCCCATGTGCAGTGCTCACGGCCTAACAAAATATTCTAACAAATTGTACCTTTTTACTCTATAAATACTCAGTCCTAAACAATGTAACAAATGATGAAATCAATAGAATTCATTATTGCATTTAACTTCTCTGTTTCTTTCTATTCTCTGCTTTGCTGTTACCTTATATTCAATATGGTATCATAGCCTTAAAGGCAACAGCCTCCTCTCCATCAAATGGCAGAACAGGAATCATCAAGCACCCAACAAGCTTCTTACCTCCTTGCATCAATAGCTAAATATACTATACCTCTTCCTCTCAAATTCTTGATGTCCAATATGAAACTCATAGCAATCTTCTGCTCACAAATGATAACTATCACATTTGGTGATTACAGGTGTACAAACTGTTCTAGACAAACAGCTTTGAAGGCTATCTAACAGGTAGTCTTCGGTGCCCACCCGAACCCACCTCTTCTTCTTGTAATTCCTCATCCGCTCTCACAAACTTTCGTTTATGGCACCTAATTGACCAAAATCTAGTTTCAGCTCTCTTTGCCCCTATCTCCCCTTCAATTCTTCCCTACATTCTCAATCTCACAACCGCTAATAAAATTTGGACAACTCTTGAACTTAGGCTTCAACCTACAAATCGCTCTCGTGTGATTCAACGCAAAAATGAATTACATCATATGCAAAAGGGTAATAGCACCATGAACCAATATCTCACCCAAATCAAAGCGCTAGTGGTTAATATAGCGGCAGCTGGTTCTCAAGTTGTTTATGAGGACATAATTCTATATATCCTTAATGGCTTGCCCAGTACCTATAATCCCTTCAAAATCTCCATTCGAGTGGTTCTTCATCCTATAAACCTCAATGTGCTTTACTCATTACTATGCAGTGTGGAGATACACCAACAAACTGATTTACTTAAAGAATCAGTCCAACCCAAAGATCATCAAGCGCTCTACAGTGGTCGAAACTTAGCTCCACCTAATCATCCAAACGGCAACGGTTCCTTCTCCACCCAGTCAAGACCTCCTTGTGATAGAGGATCCTCACCCAAACCATCGTTCACCAATGGACGTGGCCAACCTGTACCCAACTCTTCTCGCCCGACATGCCAAATTTTCAACAAAGTGGGTCATACAGCCTTGCCTTGTTGGCATCGCTGCAACATGCAATATGGTCGTACAACCAGTAGCCCAACCCGCACCCTCTTCTCCCCGCAGCTGTCTTCCACTTCTACCAACTGGGTGCTAGACTCCGGAGCAACAAATCATCTGACTGTCGACGCTTCCAATCTACGACAATCCGCACCCTATCAAGGTTCTGATAGTGTCTCAATTGCCAATGACAAGTCACTTCCGATCCATCACACTAAGGAATGTTACCTCTTCCGGACTCTCACCATACGCTATTCCTTCGTAACCTTCTACATGTTCTCTCCCTCTCTCATAACTTGCTTTCCATTTACAAACTAACATATGACAACAATTGTTCTATATCTTTTGATTCTACTGGCTTTCTTATCAAGGACCTTATGGACAATCACATTCTCCTTCGTGGTCACTGCCATAATGGTCTTTATCACGTTTCAACATCCCTCAACACTCCCACCACAACATTTCATAGCTCTCTCCCCAACATCTCTATGGAACCCCCGCCTCAGACATCCACATTAGAAAGTTCTGCAAAGTATAGCAAAATGTCATCCATCTTTATGTATTTTCAATCTCGATAATTTATGGCCAAGAGTCATAAATTATCATTCTCTTCTAGTTCTACCATTGTAACCTCTTTGTTTTCTTTAGTACACTCAGACGTTTGGGGTCCAGGCTTGATTTCATCTTTAAATGGATATCGGTATTTTGTGACATTTATAGATGACTGTTCTAGATTTTGTTGGCATTTTCTCGTGCATAGCAACTGAAACTCTAATCAAATTCCAACAGTTCGCCAAACTAATTGACACTCAATTCAATGCTAAAATTAAAGCTCTTCGCTCCGATGGTGACGACGAATACATTAGCTCCACCTTTAAGCAATTCGAGCAAACTTATGGCATCTTTCACCAACTAAGTTGTCCATACACCCTAGAGCAAAACAATATTGCAGTGTAAAAACCTCCATCTCCTAGACACAACCCGTACTCTTCTTCATGCATCTAATCTTCTGCCGCAATTCTGGGCCGAGGCAGTGCTCACCTCAAATTACCTTATCAACTTCATCCCCACCATAGCCCGTAATCTTCAACTACCCTTTCAATTACTCCATGGGTACCATCCTTCTTATAGTCATCTTTGCACTTTTGGGTGTTTGTGTTTTTCCCATCTATTACATCTTGCCACCAACGAACTTACTCCCCACTCACAACCATGCATTTTCTTGGGCCATTCCCCTTCCCATAAAGGATACATGTGTTATGATCCTCACACCAAGAAAATTCATATATCTAGACACGTTACCTTTCACGAGCAAACATTTCCATATGTATCTCCTCTAATCCTCTATGTTGCCCTGCCTACACCAGCAACTCTACCTCCTTTGCTTCTTATTCCAACCTCCACTATCACCTCTCAAAATCCCATTCCAATCATATCCACCAAATTTCCTCAATCCTCTATAGAAATCATTCCAACATCTTATGTGTCTCATCATATCGCCACCAACCCAACCACATCTCACTCCCTCTTGCTCCCATATCAGATCAACCACTACCGCTCTTACCCACCTCAGCTCACCATATGCAAACCAAAATGGGTCATCTTAAGCCCAAGCCCATCTTCGATCTCCTGGCCACCTTTCAACCCACTACCACTCCCACTAGCTACTCTAAACCTGCCAAATCAGAACAGTGGTGTTCCACCATGTCTTCCGAATTCTTAGCATTGCAAAAATAGGGCACGTGGTCTTTAGTTCCTACTCCCGTCAATTAACTCATGCTCGGTTGCCGTTGGACCTTATGATTCAAGCTTTAACCCAATGGTCAGATCCATCACTATAAGGCTCGGCTCGTCGCTCAAGGCTTCACTCAAGAACATGGCGTTGATTACCAAGAGACCTTCAGTATAGTTACAAAAATTTCAACAATTCTTATTCTCCTTCTTTTAGCTCTTCAATGCAACTGGATAGTCACGCAGCTGGATGTCTCTAATGCATTTCTACATGGCGAACTCCAGGAAGATGTTTATATTCATCAACCACCAGGTTTCCTTGATGCATAGTTTTTCCACTATGTCTGCAAGCTTCACAAAGCCATCTACGGTCTAAAACAGACTCCGAGACAATGGTTTCAAAAGTTTACAACAATGCTTCTTTAGATAGGCTTTTCCTTTAGCAAACCAGACCCCTCACTTCTAATACTCTCATGATATGGTACAAATCTATCTACTGATGTATGTCGATGATATGCTAATCACAAGTAACCTTCCCGCCACCATTCAACACCTTATGTCCCAACACCAGTCAGAATTTTCCCTCAAAGATCTCGGGATGGTTTCACTATTTCTAGGCATTCTAATAGCTTCCACCTCCCAAGGCTATTTCCTTACCCAATCACACTATGACCGTGACATTCTAAAAGCATTTGGCTTTGATCAATGCAAACTAGCTCTTACGCCCATGCCGACCAAGCCTTCACAGTGTCAAGATGCATATCTTCCCTACGCCAATCCACATTTCTACCATCAACTTGCTGGGTCCTTGCAGTATTGTACGATCACAAGACCTAATATTGCATTTGCCACCAACCAAATCTGCCAGCATATGCACAATCCAACAAACCGTCATTAACAGTCTCTCAAACAGCTTCTCAGGTACATTCAAGGAACTCTTGATTATGGTTTTTCTCTTGTTCGCAGCACACTTCAGCTCAGAACGTTCGTGAATGTTGATTGGGCGGCTGATCTCTCCGACTGCAAGTCCATCACCAGTTTCTGTACATTTCTAGGAGATAATCTCATCTCATGGAGTGTTAAAAAGCAACCAACGGTAGCTAAATCATCCATAGAAGCTGAACATAGGGCATTGGCTTTAGCAACTTCGGATATAATTTGGCTTTCACGTCTTCTGGATGATCTTCAAGCACCTCAACACTCAGCTACATCTCTCTACTGTGACAACACCTCAACCTTGGCTCTTGCAAACAACCCAGTCTTTCATGCTCTAACAAAATACATCGAGATTGATTATCATTTTATTAGCGATCACATCAAGTCTATGGAGATTGCATTTCATCACATCAGTTCTCTCGATCAACTTGCTGACATACTTATGAAACCACTTTCAGCCACCCGTTTTCATGGTTTCCGCCGCAAATTAACGATCCACCTTATGGATCATTAATCTGAGGTGAGCTGTTAGCATATGCTCTATAAGCAGCTGCATCAGTTGGCACATGCTTCACAAACGGCTGCAATAGGACAACGCAAGCTTTCTGTTATGCCCATGTGCAGTGCTCACGGCCTAACAAATATTTTAGCAAACTGTACATCTTTACTCTATAAACACTCAGTCCTAAGCCATGTAACAGATGATGAAATCAATAGAATTCATTACTGCTTTTAACTTCTCTCTTTCTTTCTATTCTCTGCTTTGCTGTTACCTTATATTCAACAACTGAAACAATTTTTGAAGCATTATAGAGGCACGTATTGTGATTTGATGAAAAAGGAAAAGAAATAAAAGCTTATGGGGATCTAACAACTAGGAAACTTCTCATGATTAAAAAAATGATGTTTTAGCCATTTTTCTTGATGCCTTTTGCCCTTTAAAGTACTAACACTTGTTTGTTGCTTTGGGTATTGATAAGATCAATATTTGGCCTCTTTTAATGCATCATGACCATTTGATCCTTGCTAAATAGTTCCGTGGAGGTCCAATTTCCATTGCTGAGTACATGGGGGAAGTTTTAACCAATCCAAATTGTGGATTTTACATCAACAGAGATGTATTTGGAGCTTGTGGTGATTTCGTAACCTCTCCTGAAGTGAGTCAGATGTTTGGAGAGGTAACTTGGTGATCAATGTTCTTTTTATTTGCTATTTTGAATGCACAAATGAATCATGTAGAAACCCTGCAAGGTTAGAACCTTTGTGCATCTTTGCATGTGCGTGTGTATTTATATGTTAGTTTTGCTTGCATGTTTGTGTGTCTGCCTTAGATTTATTTTCAAGTGTACATTGAATCTAATATCAAAGGTAATATTTGTTCTTTTAATTGTGATTTCCCTCATTATAGGAACCATCAATCTAGCCATGTACCATTTTAAGTATGTTTGGCTCTATTTAATTTTGGGAAGTTTGGCTAGATTCTTATTCCCATGGGAAGGGCTTGACATTCTTGAATGTTTTTAGATGGTTGGAGTGTGGACAATGTGTCTGTGGGAGCAGTTGGGTCGACCCGCCAAAGTAAATCTGGTTGAATTTGGTCCAGGGCGAGGGACACTGATGGCTGATCTTCTACGTGTAATATATTTTTCTCTATTCTCTCTTCTTTGTTGTTGTTGAGTTTCTGCCTTTGCACCGAGTTAACTTTGTTCTGCATTTTTCCATTTTGTGCTACATATTGAGTTTCTAGCGAGTTGTTTTCTTTCTTTAGGGCTCTTCAAAATTTGTAGACTTTTCAAAATCACTTGATATTCACTTGGTAGAGTGCAGTCCAACCTTGCAGAAGCTTCAATATGATACCTTGAAATGCATTGATGAAGCAATATCCGAAGATAATACTGCTACAAGAACCACTACCACATTGAATGGAGCTTCTGTTCTCTGGCACGCTGATCCAGAGGAGGTTCCATCAGGATGTAAGAGATACTTATTTTAAACGTGGAGAATATATACCTGAGGCTGAGAAGTTTTTTTGTTCAGGAAATTTTTGTTTGTCTGGGTGATTATATTATCCGACTATGGATGTTGTGTTCAATTATGGTAATTTTCAACCAATGTTTTTGTCCCACTCTTGCTTCAAGCTGGAGGTTTATAACATTCATGTTTCTTGTGTAATTTCAATGATAATTATTTTATTCCATAATTGAGCAGTGGATCTAGACATTGTCTAAGTTTGTTGTGGAAGAAGTTGTACCTTGGGAAAATACTTTTTTTATGGTTCACCTTTTTTTTATTTAATTTTTTTTAATTTTTGAGTTACTGAGATACTCTTTCAAACTCATGCGACTTAACTTTGCTATTCTTTTGCCATACATTTTTTTGTTACCTTTTTTAGTTGGCTTGTTATAATAATCAGATTCTATGGTATGTACATTCTTTCCCATCTGATGCTTTAACTCCTGCAACTTGAACAGTGCCAACCATCATCATTGCACATGAATTCTATGATGCTCTGCCAATCCATCAATTTCAGGTTTGTCATGACTTGCGATAATGCTTTGATTGCCCAAAAAAGCTACCTAGATGCAATATTCGGCTATTATTTCATACAGTATGTTGCATTATGCTGGGCAAACTTATGTAGAGGGATAAATTTAACAATAAAATATATTTATGTAAATATTTGTAAACGCATCAATATGTCATCCATTTTAAAGTTTGAAAATGAAAAGAATTCGTCTGTAATATAAAGCATTGAAAGATGGTAAAGGGTTGCCAGTATTGTTGGAAAATATGTTCTAGATATGTGATTCCAGTTTGGAGCAAATCCATAACTAACAGAGTATTAAGAAGAAGGCTAAAAAATCACATTGGTATGAAACTTTATTTGATGGGAAATTAGTTGCTTTGGGGCTCTTAAATATGATGTTTACCCAAGCTTTTCAGCCGAGTTCATTTCCAACATAGTCTGCCCCATTTTGGCTACCTTATGTAATGGATTAAGAAAAAATCAGAAGTTTTAAACATATAAAATGAGTATAAAGAAGTTCACATTTTAATACTCAGGCAAGTCCATCAAGTTAACTTATCATATTAGCGTCAATGTGGTTACCTCCTTAAAAAAACAATGGAAATTCTTGAAAATTTTCAGAAAAAACCCAAAGAACCCTAGGGATATTTTTGAGAAATTTTTTACCTTATTTTTCCTAGAGAAAAATCTTATGCTTGTATGAGTAAGAATGAAAAACACAAAATCATAAACCTTGACAACTAAGGTATGCTTTATTAGGCACAACAGACCTTTTTTTAAGTAATGTTACTTGAAGTATGCACATTATCTCCAAGCATCCTTTGAATGATTTACAGTTAAGCTTTGTATTGCATATTAAAGAACTTTAGGCTCTTTACATCTTGAATTTAGTTAAGCTTCAGCTCAAGTACTTTTTATTAGTTTTTTTTTTTCTTGACCTAAACTTCACATTCCTGATAAAACTGTTAGTCTGAATGTTCATGAAGTGTTTGCACCATCAAAATCCACATAGGGTCATCAAACATGACATACTCAACTCCATCATTAGGGACTAGGCCTTAAGTCCTTTTTAAATTATTGAGCTGAGTAAGAAATTTCAGATATCATAAGGAGTCCTGGAATATTTTGGGGCTGGATCAAATATAGTAGACTTCTAGGTTAGTTCTGGGCTTAACTACATGCAGTTGAATTTAAAAATTTTGCATTGCACCAGCAGTTGCCTTCAAGTATGGTCTACCCTAGCTATCTTTCCTGACGTTTCTAGCTCAAGTTAACAGTTACAGATATCTGTCAAAATACTCCAAACATATTAGTTGTTGTGCTGAGTTTTTCAATCAACATTGTTGCTTATCCTTTTGTTAACTAATATGCTTTATTGGCAGAAAACTTTTCGAGGATGGAGTGAAAAGATGATAGACGTGTCAGAAGATTCATCGTGAGTGTCCAGCATCTTGTCAGTGGTAAATGAAATGGCTACTTTTTGAAAATTCTTCTTCTGCTAATTGCAATAAATTTGTTTTTTAGCAATTTCCGCTTTGTTTTATCTCCACAACCCACTCCTGCGTCTCTACTGTATCTGAGAAAACGTTGTGAATGGGCTGACAAAGAAGAAATTGCAAAGATTGAACAAATTGAGGTGTGTCCTAGAGCAGTTGAGTTGACTCATCAAATTGCAAAGAGAATAAGCATTGATGGTGGTGGAGCTCTCATCATAGACTATGGGAAAAATGAAATTATTTCTGACAGCTTACAGGTTAATTTCTTAATCTAATCTTTCTTGAAGTTGACAAGAGTTCTCATGTTTTTCATCTTTTATTTCTGTCTAACATGCCGGATAAGCTTTTGGACGTAATCATTGAAGATGAGTTTCCTAACGGAAGGAATAGTTAGTGAAAATAGAATTAAGTTATCATGAGAGGAATTAATCTTTGAAGTGAAGTTCTAATTCTCATAACTGAACTACTAACATTATGTTCTAATTTTTTGAGATATTTCGGTATAATGTTATTTTAAGCTAGAGTGACAATTTTTTCTGATGGGATCCTTATTAAGATCACAGGGCTCTTATAGCTTCGGATGCAAGTGGATTAGACTTGTATTGATTATATGTGATGCATCATCATCATCATTATTAGCCATAGTCCAAATTTTTGGGGTCAGTATTAATATCAACAAACTTTTTAAATTGTCTGACAAAGATACCAACAACATCAACAACAACAACATCAAGTCTTTATTCCACTATGTAGGGTCGGCTACATGAATTATTTTTCTCTATTGTATCATGTTAAGGGTCAAATTCTCATTTAAATTTAATAAAGAAAGGTCATTTGTAATATTTTCTAACAAAGTCTTTTTAGGTCTACCTCTATCTTTGTTAACATAAGACAAATCCAATACATCTATTTTCCTATCCGAGTCAATAGAAGGCGGTTGTTTTATGTGACCAAACCATCTAAGGCGGCTCTCTCCAATCTTATCTTTCACAGGAGCTACTCCAACCTTCTTACATATATGCTTATCTCGTATCCTGTCTCTAAGAGAAAAACCATTCATCCAAATGAGCATCCTCATCTCTGCAACTCTTAACTTAATATTATGCTTCTCTTTTAATGGATAACATTCTGCACCATAAAGCATTGCATGTCTCACCATTATCTTATGGAAATTTTCCTTAAGTTTGAAGGAGACTTTTCTATCACACAATAAGCCTGTACATTCCTCCACTTCAACCATCCAACTTGAATTCTAATAATAATATCTCCATCTATTTCACCATCACTCTGAACAATAGACCCAATATACCTAAAATGTTTACTATTATTAATGCCTTGATCGCCTGATGTCACCCGATAGGAAGTGGATATAATTTTTTTGAAATCAACAAATGATAATAAGAAATTAGGAAGATTAATACACCAAAACTCTTTTTATTGCAAGATATATGAAAGAAAACAACAAGATACAGTTGGATCTTCAATTGGAGAGGAAGATTCAGTTCTCTTAAATCCTTAGCTTGCTGCTAGAGCCCTCACAACCTAAGAAATTCTAATTTCAGCAAGCTCAAAACATAATCCTAAAGTCACCCTATTGTTAGCCTTAAATAGGCTCTCATAATTCCCTCCCAAATCAGCCTCCATTTCCTAAATAATTCCCATTCCCTTTCATATTTGAATTCAAATTAGATCTCTTTCCCTAAATAAATTTTTCCCAATTATAATTAAAATTTTTCTAAATAATTTCTCTTTGATTAAGAATCTTCCTTAACAGCTCCCTCTTGATTAGGATCTTAATTCCCTCTTAATCAAATTGGATGGTTCATCATCACCATCCCTATAGTAGATCTATTACTACTAAAATTATACTCCATATATTCGATTTTCGATCTACTCAAGCGAAAACCTTTAGACTCTAAGGTTGACCTCCATAATTTATGTTTACTTCCCTCCCTAGTTATATCAACAAGAATAATATCATCAACAAAAAAGCATACACTAGGGTACAACCTCTTGCAAATGTATAGTGAGAACAACCATGACTTAAGTAAAAAGATATGGGTTTAAAGTTGATATTTGATGTAATCCAACAAAAATCGGAAAATACTTGGTTAAGCCACCTTGTATTTGCACATAAGTAGTAGCTCTTGCATGCATATCCTTAATGACTTGAATAGAAGCATTATTAACCCCCCTTTTTTTTAGAACTCTCCATAGTACTTCTCTTGGAACTTTATTAAAAGCTTTCTCTAAATCAATAAATATCATATGAAGATCATTCTTATTATCTCTATACTTCTCTATCAAACCTCTCAATAAATGTATAGCTTCCATAGTAGACCTACCTGACGTGAATCCAAATTAATTTTGAGAAGAATTAGTATCACTTCGTAACCTATGCTTCATAACTCTCTCCCATAGTTTTAAAGTACGACACATTAACTTAATTCCTCTTTAATTCATATAATCATGTGCATCACTTTTATTCTTAAAAATAGGAATCAACACACTCAGTCTCTACTCATCTGACATCTTTTTAATCTTCAAAATAATATAAAAAATTTTAGTAAGCTAAGAAACTCCTTCACCTCCTAAGCATTTCCACACATCTATTAGAATGTCATCAGGTCCAACAACTTTTTCATACTTCATTTTTTAAAGTCTCTGTAACTTAGTTTTACTAATATGTCGATAAAAACAAAAACTTTTATTTTCATTTAGGATGCTAAGGTCACTAAAATCAATCGTATTCTCACTACCTTCATTGAAATATTTAGTAAAATATATCATCCATTTTGTTGAATATCCTCTTCTAATAAAAGCACTTTTTGATCTTAATCTTTAATGCACCTCACTTGAACAATATCCTTTTACTACTCCTATCCTTTGTTTGGCTAATTTATGCATATATTTTTCGCCCTCTTTAGTATCTAATCTATTATATAAATTATTAAGAGCTAAAATCTTTGCATCACATATTACTTTGTTAAGCTCCTTATAGACCTCTTTATATCATTCTCAATTATCTGAGTTTTACAACTAAACTAATTTTTATAAAAAAATATTTTTATTTTTTATATTTTCTTGTATATTTTGATTTCACCACAAATTATCTTTACTATTAGAAGCTTTTCCCCTTGATATACCAAGCACATTTTTTCCTCATGCACAAATAAAATCTTAAGATATAGAATCTTACTCACAAAAATATTTTTATTAATATTTTTTAAATGTTACTATCTAATCTGAGAACAATATTTTACTTTATTTTTTATATTATGCCCCTTCATCTTAAAGTTCAAAACTAATAAGCAATGTTGGGTATATAAACTATCATTCAGAATAATTTTAGAATCTTTGTAATCCAAATGATATAGTTTTTTATTAGAAAATAATTAATCTCAGTTTTACTATAACCATTCTTATAAATGATGAGATATTCATCTCTTTTCTTATATAAAGTAGTAGTAATTATAAATTCATAAGCTATTGTAAAATCTAATATGGTTTTACCACCTTCATTAATTGCTTCAAATCCATAGTGTTCATAAATGCTTTTAAAATCATTTACCTCTCTACCAACATATCCATTTAAATCTCCTCCAATAAAATTTTTTTTGAAAAGGTATTTTTTGTATTAATTATTCAAGTTATTTCAAAATTTAAATTTTGAATATATATCTAAACTTACTTGAGGAGCATATGCACTTACAATATTAAACATCTTAACATCAACAACAATATTTAAAGGTATAATTCTATCTCCAATCCTATTAATTTTTACAATATTATCCTTCAAACACTTATCTATAATCACACATATATCATTTCTAGTACGATTCCTACTAAAATACCATAGTTTAAATTTTAAACTATCAATCTTTTTAGCTATCTCTTCAGACCATTTAGTTTTTTGAATGTATAAAATATTTATAATCTTATGAATCATAATATTTATTAATTCTATTAATTTGTCTGTAAGGGAATATATATTCCAAGTTTATATCATAAATTTAGTTTCGTATACTATCTTCTTTGCCCACATCCGTTTATGATGTGGGAACCCTTTCTTATTTAACACTGCACTTGGGCGTCAGTTCAATGACCCTTGCACACTTCTCTCTGTATTTAAGCATTGCAATGGGTCACTTCCAAGGAACGTCTTAGCATTAACACAATGTATTAAAGAATTTATGTCATAATTATTCAAAAAGTTTTATGCTAGTTGTCAATAGGAGTGTCAAAACAGGTATTTGGGTCGGGTTCAGGTTGAACTCGAAATTGACCCGGGGCCAAACAGGTTATGCTAACCCATTTTGTAAATGGGTCAGAATTTTTGACTCATATCCGACTCAATGGGTTACTAGGTTGACCTGACTCGACCCGTTAACCCGGAATGTGTAGGCGGAAGGGAGAGCAAGTGTGGTGAAGGGGGCGTGAGTGTGTGTTGTGCGAGCGAGTGTGGCCTGCACGATGTGCGGACGCGTTAGCGAGTGGGGGTGCGGTAGTGGCCACGGGGAGCGGAGGTGTTGCGAGCATGGGTCTGACTGTCCAGGTGCAGTATATGGGACAAAAGAGCTTGAGGGTGGGATCAAACACAACCGCATGTGGAGCATTATGGACGGGCGCAACAGTGTGAGCGCCGGCAGGCACTAGCACTGCATGCAAGCGCTAGATTGCTGCAAGCCGAACCCGAGCATGGATTTGCAGTAGGCTACTAGGCCGAACCCGAACTCGGGTCATTTTCGGGTTGATTTTGGGTTTTCGGTTAACCTGAATCGAACCCAATTTTACAAACGGGTAAAAAAAATGAAACTTGAACACGACCCCTTTGGCAAACGAGTTGACTCTAACTCTAAATTTTTTGGGTCGGGTCTGGGTCAGGTTTCAAGTCGTGTCAAATTTTGACACCCCTAGTCGACTACCTAATATAAACCTCTACTTTTCTCATACATGACTTGGGAGAAAACTCAATGTGATGCCTATCAAACTACAAACTCAATGTTTATTGTTAATATGAGTTTGATTTTAAGTAATTTTTTGTTTGATTAATGGATGTATCGATACAAGATCAGCATAAAATTTGCTAAACTTAGCATTCACTAATGTATAACAACAACAACATCAAGCCTTTATCACACTATGTGAGTCGACTACATGAATCCTTTTTCTCCATTTTGTCTGGTTAAGAGTCAAATTTTCATTTAAATCTAATAAATAATTAAATGATTAATGTCATGATTATGTTAGGAAACTT